CGAAATTAATTTATTTTATTGTTTTACAAAGCAGGAATGCTTCCTAAGTCTATCAATAATGCCTTTTTTCTTTGACATTTTACCTCTTCCTGTGACAAATCCTAAAATAATAATTTACTCATACAGGAGCCAAAAAATTCCTTTCAACTACAAAGATACAGAAATCCTCTGTGGCCTTTAGGGCAACATTTCTTATCAAGCACTTTTGATATTGCTTTATGTCTTCTATTCGTTGAGGTAGAATAGATTCAGATAGCTTGTGAAGTAGAACCCTGATGTACTGGCTTAAATTCTGAAACTTGATCCGTGTGTAGGGCTGTCACCTAAATATATTATAAAGGTTGTTAAAATCACCGAGTTTAATGTTTAAGAATTTATAATATTTTACTTCAATATTCTATGAATAGCCTGAACAGCAGATAGGTAAACATCTAAGGCATGACCTTCAGACTCATATTTAATCCAGGTTTTTCCTCTACTGTTTTAATCTCTGCGTCTTTTTCTTTTTGCTCCCTGCTCTACTTTTTCTAATCAGTGGTTGCTAGAATAAAATGCAAAAGTGTCGTAACATTTATATTTGGCAAGTGATTCAATGGTGGGTCATGGACTATTGGTTGAAAATCTACAATATGAAGCGAAGTAGTCAGAACTGCATCTAAAGGAGTTACATTCAACCTTCAGACTTCTTGGAAGAATTGTTTTTCCTTTCCTACACAATATTAATACTGATTCCCCCCCCCCCGCTGGAAATAAAAAACAAATGGGGACAAGAAATAAGTGGGGAAAGAGAAAAGTAAGTTAAGGGACCTGGCCGTACTACAGCTGTTGGTAGATTTCTCTACATGGCAATGCTTTCCTCAGTAAAAATATTCCCAATTTTATTCTGAGGTACCAGTATGTCATCAAAAAGAGAGGATCAAAGACAGAGGCAAAAAAATATCTTAAAAGACTGATACTAAAGCAACCACTCCATACTCATATTAGTTCAATAGAAGAGAAGCTATCTTAATCAGTTTGAAATAGAAATAAAATCTAAGATAAAAAGAACTAAAAAATATGTTGGAAACTTGTGTAATTATCTTGGTTGTCCGCAGTCACAGGTTGGAAGGGACCTTGGAAGCCTTCTCTTCTTTAGGCTAAAAATTCCCTGCTTCTTTAGCTGTTCTTCATAGGATTTAGTCTTCACACCTTTCACCATCTTTGTTGTCCTTCACTACACCCTTTCAACATCCCTGCTGTATTGTGACAACCAAACCCGAACAAAGGATTGCAAATGCAGCATAGAACTATTTTATCCATTCTCCCTTATAATTCTGACCTCGAATGACAGAACGCTGCAGGCTTTAGAACAGTGAATAAAATAAACAGTTGTTTATTTTTAATTGGTATCTTCAGCTTCATATTTTCTGAGTTCAGGGACATGGTTTCTCTTAAAAGGTTAATTTATAAATTGCACCGAGGGCATGAAATATTGACGCATGTCTCACCAGCTTTGACCTAATCTGTAAGGAAGATCTTCACAGAAGAACAGACTCCCACAGAAGTAGTTGATGCCTTGCGGTTATTTAATAAAGACTATAAGATCTCTGGATTTAGATGATTGCTATGATCCAGTAAGTGTTTAACTGTACAGAGGGCAGGCTGGTTTAAAGAATGCAGCAATGAATGGGAATACAGTTGGAATTGTTACTAAAAGGTTCTAGAATTTTTTGCATTTCTTTTAAATATTGAGTTTCAGATTTTTACCCTGAATCAAATCCATTTTCCAGGTCTATGAGCATTTATGCCGCAATAACGCTGTGCCACAAACAAGAAGGGACAGTTTCTTTATACTAATATAGTTAAATCAAATTGGAGTAAAAGAAGTATATAATTTATATATATATTGGAATCTGTGAGAGTAACTGCTGGGTTATATAAAAATTGAACTAAAATAATTAATTTTGAGAGAGGAACGGAAGACTTAATTTTTTTACATTAAATTTACTATTTTGACATGCTAGTGATAACTAGAGAAGAATAAATTGTTTTTTTCAAGAACCAGTTATTACAATTTGTCTTCAAACCCGAGGTCTGCTAGTGTGCTTGTCCAGCTACTTCCCAGAATAAAAGGAAACCTCTTTCTCTTTTCACTATTCAGGCTGTGTAGAAAGGCTGCCTGGCATTCCGGACACGTATAGAAACTAGAAAGCTCCTTTAAGTAATAATGCAGGGAAGACTCCCTAATCAAGAAAAAATATGGCCTGGCATACTAAGAAGCTGCATCCTGTGAGGAATGCAGCAGGCAGTGGCATTTTAAGTAGATGGCAACGGTGGCGATCAAGTAATATTGAAACACATGATCATCCTAACTTGCATTTGAACTGACAGATAAAGCATGTCTAAAGTCTAAAAGACACATAGCTCACTTCTAGAACATTGCAATAGGGCGGTAATATATTTGCATTAACACATCCTAATAACCATGAAGTTTATTTAAGGAAAATATTCAGAGGACTGCTGCATTTTTTATCCTTAAAGGCACACATGCAGTACATCTGGAATAACTTTTCAGTAAAACAAAAGACAAAACATGAAGACTTAGGGCTCAGATTACATCTGAACACCTCTGCAGTGTTCAGATGTAATCTTAAATCATCTTGTTAAGGCATTGTGGTAAATTGCTTAACACTATAGTCTTCTGTTTCGTGATGCTAATCAGGAAGGAGTTTATGGTTTCTATATGTATTTATTTATTGGTCTATTTTATTCTTTAGTATATATAAATAAACAAATCAAAAGATAAATACTTTCATATAAATGAAGTTACCAGAAAACTGCTATCAACTATATAATCACTAATACAAACATTCTCCCTTCAAGGTCCGATTCTAATCTTTAATGGAAAAAGACTAAAATATTATATTCATTTTATCTCTGTTGTACAAAGTGCCATATTGCCATAACTTCCTTTATGGAAATCTACCATTTCAGTATGCAATTTTCAAGAGCATATACTGTAAAGAGCATATACTGCACCTTCCTAAACCATCATGGTCCAAGATACAACAACATTCCAAATATTATTCAAAATGAAATTCTAGAATTCAAGAACATGTCTTAAAAAGAATATACAAATTAACATGTTGGAAAAATGAGTAAATAGATTTCACAAGATTTGCTTAACAAGATTTCCTTAAGGACATCAATCTGAGGAGGAAAAAAACATTTTGAAACTCTTGCTTCTGAAAGCTTTCTGGTATACTGTAAATTACAAATCTGCAAACACTATGAAGAAGAAAGAAAACACATCTGGAGAAAGAATAAACTCAGAGCAGAAAGAGAATTCCATATAGTAGAAAACTTGCCTTGAGTATGTCTTCCAAAAATTAGAACTTATGACATTATTATGTACCTTTGTTATACCAGCATTTGTGTTAAATGGCATTATTAATTTTATTTTTTTTAATCTCAAATATTTAGGGACTTAGTTGATGATGTATAATTTTCTCAAAACTAAATATTCTATCAGTTTCCTAATTGAAATGACATTTGGACTCGATTTCCCTTGATCAAAGTTAGTGTTACTTTTGTTTCAGAAGAAAGAAAATATTTCTATTTTGTCTTCTAATATAACGCAACCTAACTAGGAATATTTTTTTTTAAGTTAGACTATCCCTGCAGTCAAACCACTAATTATATATAGCAAGCTACTAGGCAGGAATGTTCAGAGAAAATAGTAAAAAAAAAAAAGTCACAAGAGGATGGTCATCTTCATCATGGCAGCTTCTTGACTTTTTTGACCATACCCTGAGATACCATCCCCACCCCCACCACCAGATGAAACTCTAGAAGTAAAATACATTACTACTGTAACAAAACATGATGGAAATGAATAGGCAGCAGCAGCAAAGCACAGTCATTCTAAATTGCAAGTTGTTTAACATGTATGCTCATCTCTGCAGAATATGTGTTCATCTCAAGAATGCTCAGTAAACGAAGGTCTTTGCTCAGAGAAAGGACTTTTTGTTCTCAAGAAATTGCTAGCAGGCTGTGAAGCACCATAACACAAGTCCTGCTGCAAACTAGCAAAGTGAGAAGACGTTGCATTACAGACATGATGTACCTGTTACACATATAGATTCAGAATGCCATGTTCATGCACCATTCTCAAAGTTATACTATTAAAAACAGCACAATGCGCAAACATTTCATATATAAAAATTGGCACGTGAAAAAGGCAAGGCAACACCAGCTTGGTATGTATTAAAGAACACTGTTAATTTTCTGCCTATTTTTATAAGATTGAAGTCTACAGCAGGATTTTAACAACAGAGAAGAAATTTTGAAACAGCATCACAACAGTTATATGAAAGATACAACTTTTTCTATACTGGCCCTACAAATTTTCAAAATAATTTGAGCCAAGTGGAGGCAAAGTTCTATTACAAACAGAATACAAATAGCCAAAAAAGGAATACATAGACTATTTATACTACATAAATACCAGTTATAGGAGGTACTTAACTGGTTATTATTGGTTGGCTATATGCATCTCCCATTTCCAGAACATATTCTGTAACTATTTTTAACAGGTCTACAAATGTGTGATATACAAGCAGCGACGCATAGTAAGGCACACTGAGACTAAATTGTAATTTACTGAGTTAAGCAATGATTTTATATAAATCATATATTCAATTTTTGTGTGGTGATGCTAGTAGTAAATAATAACTTGGCCAAAACAGCTGAGTCAGCATTCAGCATACCGAAACCATGTTAACTGGTTGTAATCAGCATAGATACATTAAAAATTCTATGATTTATATATTACATAAATTTAAATCAGAAGATTAAGGCGAAGTAATCTCTGCTTTTCAGACTAGAGATTCCTCTTCTGCTGCAACAAAGCCAATGATTTTCAGAACTTCTTCCTGGTCTAGTCATTGGTCAGTGACTATTAATGAGAACTGGCATGCAAATATTAAGAACAGATAGCAATTAAGAAATCAGCTACTCACCCTGTGAGAACCACCACAAAATCCATCACATTCCACCCATTCCTTAGGTAGGATCCCTTGTGGAAAGCAAATCCTAAGGCAATAATTTTAATTCCAGCCTCAAAACAAAATATTCCAATGAAGTATGGTTCAGTGTCATCCTAGAAAAGATTATGTAAAAAATATTAGTGACTACATTTTACTCCATATTTGCTTCAAAGACCAATTCCCACCCCATATTATTTTCATTAAGCCCAAAACAGAGGTGTGTGTTTGTGTGTGAGTGTGTATGTGTGTGTCTGTGTGTGTGTGTGTGTATGTGTGTGTGTATGTATGTGAGAGTTATAGCTTGATTTCTCCCTCCCCCCTACCACCTGTGGACATCCTTGCTATTGTTTACTGTAACTGGGACTGAAGAGTCCAAAATATCTAAAGGACACTAGAGAATTAATTTTGGGCCCCAACAGGTAATATGACTGGCATACAATTACCAAGGAAACCATAGTGAGAATGGCTCACCAGGATCTTACCTTCTGTTTACACCTAGCTGGGCATGAAAATATTCTAAACATTTTTATCCTACTTTGCAAACATGGGTAGGCCAGTCTTTCAAATCCATTTAAAATCAATCAATTACATTAACATAGGCTTCTATTGAAAATTATGTTTATAAAAGATTGGCACCATTTACCATAGTGGGGATTAAAAGACCATTGGGAGAAAAATAATCATATCACATGATCATATATGTATTTCTTCACTCACTACAAGTAGTCCTCGACTTATGACCACAATTAGGACTGGAATCTTAGTCCTAAAGCAAAGCAGTTGTTAAGTGAGAAGCTCACACGACTGCTTTGCTGAACAATCACAATCTCTCCATTCACAGTGTCCCAAGGGATTGGGGAAGACCCTGGGAGGCTTTTCTTTGGAGCTAAAATCCAAGCAAGATTTTTCAGACATTGAGTGGAGAGACACTTGTGTGTAGCCTGCACCATGCCTCCCCCCCAATCCACCCCAGGCATTCAGTGTTCCTTTTCTTACTATGCTGCCTCTCTGCTCAGGAGTTGAAACTCTCCTAGCTGAAATCCAGTTCTGATCTTCAGTTCCTGTGCAAAGAGACACACACATGCAGCCTACTCAGGGCCTCCCCCGCCTGCTTGAATTACCCCATACTCCTTACCTTGCTTGGATTTTGGTTTCCTCTCATCTCTAGGGGCTGGCTGAAAGAGTTGCCTGCTGAAGGATCTTAGCTTCCCTCCTCCATGCACAGAAAGAGTACTCCTTCGGCAGGATGCGGAAATGAAACTGGAATCTTCACAATTTGGGCTCCATTAATGCACCGCATGGAAGAAGCTCACTGGCCTCCATACACAAGGGGGAACTCCTTCTGTACGGTGCAGGAATGAAGCTGAAATTTTCAGGATTTTGTCTGTTTCTGCATCCTTAGAAGGCATTCAGTTCCTCTCAGCAAACAGCTCTTCCAGGCAAGCCCCAGAGCGAGAGGGAGTTCCCTAGGCAGGTTGTAGCACTTGCAACCTCCCCTGCCAGTTTCCACACTGACATTCTGTGGAAGTTGGCAAATAAGATTGCAAATAATAATTATATGATTGGTGGCAGGGCATTTGGCAACCAATCGTAAGTGTGAACAGGTTGCCAAATACTCAGATCGCAATCACGTGACTCTAGGAGGTGGTGCTGCAAGATTTTGCAATGCGGAAAGGCCATAAAGTACACTGAGGCCATGTTTTCAGGCAGTTGTAAACAAAGGGCCATAAATTGAGGATTACTTGTAGATGCTTGTCAATAGATTAGTACAATGAAAGTGGACCAAAATCTCCTCGAAACTTTTGCTTGAAAATTGGTACATTTTCACTTCATGGACAATTCTTATGTAGACTTCATTAGGCAGTACTATACTTTGACATTGGAAAGCGAGCAACTACTGCATTTCGGTTTTGGCTCTATTCCTAACTATATACCAGAAATTTTTAGTTGGCAACTCTGGTTCCACATGATGGATGATGTTCATGAAGAAAGATAATTTCATCAAAAGATAGGGCAATTTTACTGAACCTGATGAAAAGGGGGAAGACCTTGACATAGGGCCAGAGCTGATGAAAAGAGGCTGCAGTGTACACAGCTGTGTTCAGACCCAGAAAACTAGGGCACTACTAAGCAGAGATGCCAACTGAAGAAGGCTACGCAGCTGAATAAGAGCACAAAAATGAAGAGACTAAGGCTTCTTGTCTCCACTGCTATGCTCTGAGTGATCCAAGCCTGTCTTGGGTTGATGGGGCTTTCAAATGGCAGGTCCAATCATAGACTGAACCAGCTCCATTGATTGGGGCCAACAGGGCCTTTCTTGTACACAGTATATTACTCCTGGCTGGGTGACTTTGCACCTAACATTTATATGTTCTGTTCTGTTCCTTCCCCTTCTATTTTATTCCCGCCACAATCATACAACTCTTGGTGGTATGTAAAAGATAACAACACACACTAAATACAAAACGTGCATTCAAGAGTAAAAGTAAAAATAATGAAATACCAAATAGGGGCATAGCATTTCTATTGCATTATCTAATTATTTAATAAAATTATTGGAAAGCATTCCATATGAACTGCTTCTGAAGATCAAAAGAGGTGGACCAAGCCTTCTTTCCTAGATAACTTTTTCTAAATATGAAGCTCATCACAGAAAAACACTTCCTTTAGGGCTCCACATTCTCCCCACTTTCCTGTAAAACTACTGGGAAATTGAACTACTCCAAAAAACAACAACACTAGACTGCCACAATGTACTCAGATTACTGAGGCAAATGCATGATCACTATGGAGGCCATCAACCCCCAACTTCTTCCAAACCCAAATCCTGATTTATGAAGGTGGAAATCATCTAACTCAAACAAGTAAAAAAGAGCCAATACCAAGATTAGATCTAGGAATTTAGAATGGATTACTGCAGACAAAGAGTAGCCAATACCAAGGATCCCTAGCTCATCTCTATAGCATACCTGGCAATGTCAGGAATAGAAAATCCTGGATCTAGAGAAAAATATCTAAAGAACACTGCATCTCCCTTTTCCCAACCTTAGCAATAAACTTAATATAAGTTCCTCAAACATTCTGGACACATCTTTAATCTTAAATTCAATTCCTCCATGTATTCCATTTTGAATATGTAATTATATCATTTATTTTGTAGGAATCCATCCATAATGTCACGTTAAAGCTGTAAATGGGGATCTCAAATCACATGTTGTAGAGCTTCAAACTACTGAAAATGGCCCTCCAGAGAGCCAGAAAATTTTGCTTTCTACAGTAGAGTTTAAGAAGATAAGAATTATACTCACCAATCGTTCCGACATTGGTGTCTTGTCTCCATCAGGTAGATGTTGCTCCAGAGCAAGGACAATGCAGTTTGCTATGATAGTTGCTAAAATCATGTATTCAAAAGGAGTAAGGCAGGGTTAAGGAAAGACTGATAGACAAGTGGATTTTTAGGCATGATCAAAAAAGGAGTATTCTCAGTATCACCCACTTCTTATGCCAATATATTCTATTATGAATTCCATACCTATCAATGGATTCTAAAAATGTAGCTTAGCATTTAGCATTTAGCTTAGAGGTTTAGTATCAAAAAGACCCATTTTAAAATCAAATTTCTGACTTTCTGAATGTGTCTCGATATGTATTTCATTGTGCTATCATCATAATTCATTTAGAGACTTTTATTAGGGCACCTGATCATATCATTTCCCACTTTTGATCCTCATGTGTTTTCCCATGCTTGATTTTTTTTCCTTACACATAAAATCCGTTAAGAATAATATAGAAGAATTGCATATTGATTTTTTATCTGTAGCACTGTGTGGGAAGCATGGTCATATCATATTTTCCTCTTGATTTACTGACATGGAAAAGTATTGTATAAGAACAGCCTAATGGACATTAAGCTTGGTGAACTAAAGTCACTGCATCCAACTACAAAGAAATACTACTACCTGTTCCAACACACAAATTCTGAGAAAGCTGCACTTAGCTTCCTGCAGAAATTGCTATGGAATAATTACAGCTTAAGGTCATTGCACATTATTATATAGCAACAAACTGAAAATTGCCCTGAATCTTTTAATGTGCTGTAGCTAATACTGTGCGATACCTGATCTGTTCCTTACATTTTATATTATTTTTATGTACAGCTAAAAAAGCACCGGGTGAAACAACCCTTTAAAACTTATTAGATCTTGCTTTTCTGGAGATCATTGCCCTTTACCCAAGCATTAACAGATAATGATAGCAGAAGAGGGGGAGGAAAGGAGGGAGGGAGGGAGAGAACTAGCATAATTATCTACTCCAAATTATAATTTGGCTTGAAGTCAATTTATAGAGAATATGAAGATATAGAAATAATCTATACTCTATTTGAATATCCTAGATATCACTGTAGGAATAACAGTAATGTCTTCTCATGCCTTCTTCTTTATGTAGATACCAATGCATATTTTAAAAAGTAGACTTCTCATATTAGAAATTCTTTATTAACAGTAATCGAGAGAAAGCTTAAGGGACTAGCAAATGATTTGTCTTCACAATTGCAGTACTAAATGTTGAAGCTGATCTAGATTATTTGTATTTATCCTCAATCTCTTTTGACAGCATTTAGATGATCAGAAGAATCTGTCTCACTATTACTGTTTTAGAGAGAATAAATATCATAGCAGGTAGCCCAGTACTCCCAATAAGGTTAGAAAAGGGATTCGTAAACTCCTATTCCTGCTATGATTTCATTTCCTATGTATATGGGTATATGTATGTTCTTATATATATTCATACACAGGGGTGATACTTACTTACCTTCCCTACCGGTTTGCAAATGTGAGCGTGTGTGTACGCTCCACCTTCCGCGCATGCATTTTGCCTTAAAAAGGGCCTAAATGGGATGCCCTAGAGCCACCCGCCATTTCCACTACTATTCGGGTTAACCGGTCAGAACTGGTAGAATACCACCTCTGTTCATACCTAAGAAATGGCTTCTTGATGTGTGTATGAAATCATTTCTTTATATATTCTTTTTTTATATTTTTAAGAGAATTTAAATTTTTTTTTAATTAATTCCAAAATCTGATTTCAAATCTATCAGGATCTTAGTCTAACTTTTCAAAATCAAAGCTCTGATTACATTTTTTCTGGTTTTTTCAATTAAAAATATGCTTAAACTTGTATTTAAAACTTCTTTCTCCAAGAATTGAAGGGAACTCATTTGGTATGTTCAGAATGGTTGGTCCAAAGGTTCCTAAAAGCTAAAAAGTAGCTAAGAAGCAATTTCAAAAAGTGATTAGAAAAAAAAGTGTGTGAATTTAGTGGTCTTTCAAATGTGCTGAATGCAGTTTGGGAAAGACGGCTATTCCCTCATCTCCCAGAGCTCTAACTATGCAGAGACTGGCAATCTCTTTGTGAGGAGCAATGGTCTGGAGTAGGGCTGTCAAACTCCCAGCACATGGGCCAGATGCGTCACGTGCTGGCCCCGCCCACACCCGGCTTAGCAAGGGGGGGGAGGTCCCGATATGTCATGTGACAATGCCATGATGATGTGAGTTTGACACCCCTGGTCTAGAGTATTTGTGGCGATCTTAAGTCTTCTCCTTGCCTGGAGAGAACTTATTGAGGAGCATATCTATTCACTAGCTCTTTATAACATTGCAGTCATCAGTTCTGCTTGTTGTTGAACTGTTTTCCATCTGCCATTTCTTCCCCTGAAGTCCCTATTGTGAGTTCATCCCCTTTCCATGTTTCACAGATACGGAAACAGGAGCTTGAATTTTTGTGGAACTAGATGTAATGAAACTGGCATATTTGTATGTGTGTGAGAACAGAAAACATGTTTTAAAAAACTCATTTAATTATTTAAAACATAGTATAAGAGTAATTCAATCATTTTTAGCACATATCCGGCAACTGTATGAGCTGGAAAATGTGTGTCCACTAAGTGTATTGGAAATATGCTTCTCCTATTTATTCCCTGTGGTTCTAACTAAGAGATACTGGTATTATACCTGTTAAATACATTATGGAAGTGAAGGTCAGTATAACCTTTGTATAGCTATGCAACCACTCTAAAAGCAGTTTCCTGTGATGAATTCTGTTCTGCAGCTTTTTTCTCCTGAGTGATTAATTTATTTAACAGACAGCTGCAGACAGCACTATTTCCCTACCACATGTGGCATTAAATATTTAATATAGCCATTTTTATCTCATCTTTAAGATACAAATCCTTCCAATGTGGGTCATAATAAGACCTGAAACAACAGCAGAATAAAATTTAAAACATGAACCAAGATATTAAGATATGATAGAATCAAGATCAAGAGACAATGTTCGTATTATGGAAGAGTATGATTGGGCAAATATTGGTCGTGCTCCTGGTGAATAAACGTCATAGCTACCATTAATGTTATTCTACTTTTTAGAAAGTACTAAGCAAACAGTAATGCAGCATTTAAGCTTTTTGTACTACAACTGATGTGGAGGCACAGCACTTACATCAGTTAAACTATTTTTTTTAAAGACTTAGGAGTGGAAATGATGTTAACTGCATCTCACCAAACTATTAGGTATTACATGACATCCTGTATGTCACTTCTGTGATAGCGAAAATTTGCTACTTCTGTGGGATTCTAAGTAGAGGATATACTTAATTTTTTTAAGTCCTGATCAGATGAATAGGAATAGGAATAAGTTTATTTATAGGCCGCCCTTTTCCCTGAGGGGACTCAGGGCAGCTAACAACTTATAGGGAGGATGCCACCTTGAAATGTATTTCAATAGTGTTGCTTACAGATTTAGAACTAGATCAGGTACTTATTGGACTATAATCTTAATATAAATACATCTGAATGTACACCATCTTTTTTTAATATAAATTCTGGGATGGAAAGAAAGGGCAGAAAAGCTGCATTATTTGCATGTAATTGTTAAATGGATCTAAGCAGGTGGCAGCATTGGTCAGCCTTGTCTGGACTGAGAAGCTAAGTCATATTGGGATGGTTTAGATAGGAATCTTCCCGTCTCTCAGAGATGTAGACTAAATGGGAGATTGAAAATATGCCAGACAAGAAAAATACCAACAATTTATTAACCCCAATAAAACTGCATGGCTAATCTAGGAAATACAATTGTGACAGAACCAAAGGAGATTCAAGGCACACTATTTCTTTTATAAAAAAAGTTGATAATATACTAGTTCAGCCTGTCCCTGCCTCCCCCATATTGGATGGTTCACTCAAAGAACATGTGCTCAGAACAGGGAACCTATGAGAAATGAGCAACAAATAAAAATCCAATAGTTTAAATTTTCTTTACGAGTTTCATATTTATGATTGAAGAATCATGCACCTGTTGTTTTTGCTTACCACTTAACTTTTTACAGCACTGGTTTAACTGAAATTAGGAGGGGTCACATTTGCTGACTGCTGAGTTTTTTCAAAACCTCAGCTGACCTTTTTATTCTCTGTTTGTTTTCAATACTACATTTGACTTATAGACAGAGTGCTTGGAGCCTATCCTAGGGCTATTTGTTTTGCCAGGGTTTTCTTTCAGAGGAGAAATATTATCTAGAGTGTACATTTATTGTGTCCCAATATATGATTTATGACTGTGGCGTTTGCTATCTAAGTGTGTTGCTAGGACCTGTTGTGTGGGAAACAACAAAAGTATCTGAGCGGTATAATATCACTTCTCAAATTTGAATAATGATTTTTCTGTGAGGATTACCTTGTCATTGCAGCTACTGAGCTGAGATTCTTGTCAGTGTTTCTACATAAGGCAGGGAGGCTACACAAAGTCTGACATTTCATGCATTAAGCAGTTGCCTTTTTTCTTTGTTAAGGTCACACACTTTGTCCATTCAACATGTTGCTCCACATTACAATGTTTAATTATTATCATCGTATTTTATGTCTGACTGGGAGCCAAGATAATCAGTCCTTAGTATTTTCTTGTCACAGCTGGTACACTTGTAGTTGAAGTATGCAGAAATTATAGGATTTTAGGGGTTGCTAGAAAGTTCTGAATCCCCTCCAAAGAGGCCTTGTGTTCTTAGCTTAGCTGTAGCCTGATATAGTAAGAACTTGACTTCATGCTGTGCCAGCATAATAACAGGAAGGGCAGCTGCTGCATTAGTACTACCTAAGGACAACCAGCTCAGGGGAGCACCAATTAGAGAGAAAAAAGGAGCAATTGTCTCTCTTTTGTTTCAGACCAAACACTGATCAAGCAAACATGCACTTTTCTATTATTTTCAAATATAAGAATCACAGAAGTTTTCAAAATACAGTAATATGTTTCCTGTAATTGAATATATCAAAGAGCAGCCTGGGGAGCTTGCTGGATATCATGGCCTACAAAAAGAAATCCTCCCTTTCCTTTTTTTACAATTAAAGTGTCAGCTCTGGG